CCTCCCCTCCCCTCCCCTCCCCTTCCCTCTCTCCTCTCTCTTCTTTTTTATTTGTCTTTCTTTTCTTTTCCCTGGATTGAAATCTTTCCATAGTCCTTAATACCAACTACAAACATTCTGAGCCCCTGATGGAAAACAAACCCATTAACCTACAGAATAATCCAGCCTACTTATATTTCATCTTAATGTTAGCTGCAAACTTCCACAGTGCCTGAGTGATGCAGGTATTCAGATTTACAGTGATACACAGAAAAGAAAATGAAAAAGAGAAAGTAAAAGCAAACAGGAAAAGATAGGGAGAAGAAAGGAAAAGAAAAAGAGAAGAAGAGAAAAAAGGTGAATACTATTGCATATGGTGACATTTTCTGACACCATCTGGCTTAAATTCACTAATTAATTTCAACAACAACAGAGAAAAATTAGTCTTTCCTCCTCCCTCTTCCCCCACCTATCACTTCTGTCAAGACTCCTGACTGACAGAGAGTAGGATTTTTGATGGTATTTTTGTGTCTGTAAAATATCAGCCCTAGGTCTGACTCCATCTTCTTGGAGCACTCTGTGCTTTTCTGCAGGGAGTTTTTGGGGGTGAATGAGCCAGACAGGATACTTATCACTGATGCTCTTTTGTGGCAACTGCATGAACAGTTCCATGAAAAGGTGAAGAAATATAAATTACAGGCTTCTGTTCCCACTTGCACGGGGGATTTTTAGAAACTCTTCCTCTCCTGGCTAATAATTCCCTGGCTAGTAAAGACACCTTGAGGTGATGAGGATACAAATACTTACAAAATCCTAACCATCTCTTGTTTATCTTAAAAAACAAATGTTTTATACCTTGTATACGTTGCTTGCAGCATCTCTTTATGCACAATGAAAGTGGGTCAAAATGTCCTAGAAATAACATAAGACCACTGACTCAAGGAAAGGAAGTTCTCTTTGAATTCTACTGTGCTTTGTCAGCTGTGTCCTGTTGGGATGCTGTTCATCCTGGGCTGTTCCTGGGGACTGCATCTACAACTTTAACCCCATGATAAATGTTGGTAGAACAGTGACTTCATGTGTATGTCCTAACTTGGGTGACATTTACAGGGTTGAAATCTTAACCTTAGGCTTCACCATCAGGATCACGGGTTGGTAAATCAAGCAATTAAAGTTTAAGAGATTGCAGATTAGTATTTAAATACATGACATTTTAATTCAAATTACCACAAAATGACTGCATTTTCATTGTGAAAAAGCAAGCTATAAAATGGATGTATTAAACTCTGTAATTTTCTCTAAATTTTATGTTGAAAGTATTTTCAATGATTTATCTCAATACTTAATTTCATCATTCAGTATTTTCCAAGAGGTTTACTATAACCAGAAGATGCATCATTTCCCTAGGAGGCTGAATAGTTGTTAGGAAAAGTAATTGCTTACATACAGCACTATTAACATTTGGAAAAGTGTCCAAATTTCTAAAACAATTAAGAATTCAGAAATGGTTCAGATTTATCTACCTATTCTTCCCTAAAACCTTTAATGCTCTTGGGGTACAACAATTCTGAGGATGTTCAATGTAAAATACAAATCATTATCCTAATGGATAAATGGAGTACAAAACATGAAGACATGCTGGGATCAAGCAGCAACTCAACTACCTGTCAAAACAGGAGCCAGAGTCCACACCTGCTCCTTCCTGGCCAGACATATCTTCCAGGTAAGATCATAGGAACGTTCTCTCTCTTCTCACTTGGTCCTTTTGGTCACTACCTCTTGCAGAGCTGGTTACGTTGCCCCTTGTTCCTACTCTGACCCTGTTTGGCAGTCAGAATAGTTATCTAGAATGTTGGTCACCTCAGATCACAGCAACCATAATATCCATGCTATCCCACTATCTTGGTCAATGTTCAATGCGCTAGACACCTAACTCCGTAAATTCTGCCTCTTTCATGCTTTAAAAGGAAAAGGTAAGTATTTTCTCCAAATCACAGGAAGTTACTTTTAATATCAATTTGCATGATACATATCAAGGAGCTGCCGATTTGTCCTTTTATTTTGGGGTATTTGATTTGTGAGGTAATGTCTTGCTGGCAGGAAGGGCTACAGGGGTGTTTCTGAGAGAAGTTGCCAGAACTTGTCCACATGTCCAACAGAGCCAATCCCTGGGGGATCCAAGATGGATCCACCCCTGGACAAGTCAATCAGTGATGGTGCTAAAAGGCAATGACAATGTATTTAACAAGGGGAAAATGCACAGAAGCAAATACATCCGGAGAGGAATGACAATATCCAAGAAAAAAAAGCCCCAGACACCAAGGTCAGTGCACAAGGAGGGGCAGGAGGTGCCCCAGGTGCTGGAGCTGAAGTTCCCCTGCAGCCCGTGGTGCAGACCACGGCAAGGCAGCTGTGCCCCAGCAGCCCATGGGGGTGCAGAGATCCACCTGCATGACTGCAGGGGAAGCCTGCACTGGAGCAGACTACCAGCAGGAACTGTGGAGAGAGAAGCCCACACTGGAGCAGTCCTGCTGGCAGGACTTGAGACCCCACAGGGGACACACATTGGAGCAGCCTGTTCCTGAAGGACTGCCCCCTGTAGAAGCCACACCAGAACACTTCATGAGGAACTGCTGCCTGTGGGAAGGACTCCTGTTACAGAAATACATGGAGGACTGTCTCCTGTGGGAAGAACCCCATGCTGGAGCAGGGGAAGAGTGTGAGTCCTACCCTTAAGGAAGGAGAAGAAGACAAGTGTGGGATGAAGTGACCATAGTCCCCATCCTCCTGTACCACTTGCAGAGAGAGGTAGAGAAATTCAGGACTGAAGTTAAGCCTGGGAGGAAGGGAATGCTGTGGGAAAGGTGGTTAAAGATTTGGTTTTATTTTTCATTAATCTACTCTTAACTGATTGATAGTAAATTAATTTCCCCAAGTTGAGCCAGTTTTGCCCATGACTGTAATTGCTGAGTGATCTCTTCCCTGCTCTTATCTCCACACATGAACCTTTTGTTGTATTTTCTCTCCCCACCCAGCTGAAGAGTGATGGAGCAATATTGGCATGCACCTGGCACTCCACTGAGGTCAGCCCATCACATTCAGGAAGAAAAAACTCACAGAAACTTCCCCCAGGGAATTTTTATCTAAGTGGTTGGTGTCTCCTTCCTTGTTCCTGTCTCAAGTAAGCCCCAGCTGATTTAAGTCCAGCTCTGAGGTGCCTCCTCATTCTGACTACATAGGGAATTACAGGCATCAGCAACTTTGGGGCACTGCAGTGCTCAGTATCCAGGTTTCTCTTCAGATGTAGCCTCGTTCTCTGTGAAAAAAGCCTCAAGAGCCATTTTGGAGTGTAGTAGTCAAATTTATTTCCACTGTAGAAGCACATTTGTTTCAGTAATAAAAAAATAATCTTTGCAGAATAAAAGTAAACCTGTAGTGGTATAAATATTATTTACTTGCACAAGAATTCACCTAAGTCACCAAACATATGTTTAGACTTAGTATTCCCACAGTCCTACATTTCCAATGGAGTTTACAAGGTAGCTACTAGCAGAAAGATGAGAAAGGTGGAAGTCTGGCTCAGTTGGGATTTAAACATATATGAAATAATAGAAAGCTTCCTTGGTTGGTTGTTTTGGTTGTTGTTATAAGACTACACCGCCTATGAAAAATACTAACAGCCTTCAGCACTGACCATTTCTGTTTGTCTAATTAAAATATATAACTTAGAGAGCCACAGAAGCCTCTTCTGGCTGCCTTGCAGACATGACCTTGGTGCTGGCCAAACAGAACCAGCAATGAGTGTATATAAGTGCTCAAGCTCAGAAGTTCTTAGGCTGTGCTCAGTCTCCATTTCTGAGACTCTCATTACCAGCTGCTGCCTTCCAAGAAGGTCTAGCATTTTCCTTCAGGGGGTCATCACAGACTCATTAGTCAGCATGCCTTATCAATCAGTAAATCCTTGTGCTATGCTAACATAGGTGCTCTACTCCATACAGCATTATTGATGATCTGGTGAAACCAACAGGCCAGCTTATAGTAAGTATGGCTGGTGTGTAACTTGACCTAACACAAATATTTCATCCACAAAAAAACCCCAAAAAAACCAAAAAAAACCAAAAAAACTCAGATGTTTTTTTCTGCACTCCCATTCAGTTCAAGCCATGGAACAACAGTAAACACAACTGCAACAAACTTAACTTGCACTTTTAACTTCTGGATAACTCTTCAACTGTTTTTCCCAATTGTGGGGGTGGAGGAAAAAAAAAAGGACAGGAATAAAATGTAATGAATTGTTCTCATATTGACTGTATTCTGCTGAAATTATACTTCTTTATCACATAGGTTATTGTCAGCACCACGTCCTCACAGCAAACGCTGATTTATTCTGATCCTTCCTTACTATAAGTACAGTGACAAAAAGTACAAGGTTCAGCCTTGACTCTTCTCAAGGCCACTATGAGAGGAGGACACCGAACTAATACAGCACAATACTGAAGACAAGAGAACGTTAACAGTTAAGTTCTGATACACTGAAAAGCAATTTTACACATAGCTCATTTATGTAGGCACACCGACATACTGAGCACCATTTTTTTTTTTTCCAGTTTAACATCAACATTCAACTCTGAACAGAAGAATGTTAAGTCTCTAGGACAGTTTCAGTATCAAGGAAAGAACTACTTCTAATTTAGAAACATCAAAACACTAAAGTTGACACCTCAGCTGAGACATTCACTGCAAGTGACCCTCTCTCTGAATTCGAAGGCGCTCCTTCTCCACTTGCAAGCGCTCCTTCTCAATCTGCAGCTTCTCTGACTCAAACTTTAGGAACTGCAGCCTCTCTTTCTCTAACTGCAAACGTTCCTTTTCAAGTTTTAACTTTTCAGTTTCTAGATCCAGAGGCTGCATGATGGGTTTTTCAGTTTGGGTAAGGTCATTTTCCAGAGCAGGTTTTTCAGCATGCAGAGTCTCTAGCCTGAGCTTCTCCCACTCAATCTGAAGTCGCTCCTTCTCAATCTGAAGCCTCTCACGCTCCAAGTCAACGTGCCGCAACCGCTCCTTCTCAATCTGCAGGCGCTCCTTCTCCACTTGCAACCTTTCAGCTTCGATGTCCAGTCGCTGTTTCTCCAGCTCCACCTTTTGCTTCTCCAGATTTATAAGCAAGTGAGAATCTTCATAGGCTAGCCTAGCTTGAGCAGAGCTCAGATTTCCAAACTCTTCAATGTGGGGGAAGTCTGGTAGGTCATTTTCCTTTTTCGAATCTGGCAGAACTGACGACAATATTTCTTCTTCTTCCTCAATAGGAAACTGCAGAGAGGAACGTGACAGACAAGAATTAGATTCCAGTCTTTATGCCAGAATAAATTTGTGACACACAACTTGACTGAAAAGAACATACTGCATTTTTTCATCTTTAAAGCTGTTCAGAAGTGTTTAACTTGTATGTTGTAAAATAACCATGCTACATCAGAAGATTTTTTTATCATTACACAGGAAGAGAAACAGGCTTTATCTGCAAGCTAATATCTGGTAAGAAAAAATGGAAAATCTTGTCAGTGAACATACAAGAGCATCCAGAAAATACAGCACAGTAGTTATTATAGATCATTCAGAACAGCTGATAGAAAACTGCATCTAGAAGACCATATGTTGTTCTTACCTTTCATAGAGCTGAGTGACATTTATGTAAGCCACCAGGCATTTGTTGTGACTAATTATTTATCAGAGCAGATGGATCCATAGGCTATGTGTTATGTAAGCTAGCCTAACCTTCAATAACTTGGGCTATTCCATTCCTAAAAAACATTTAACACTGACATTTTCCACATGCTCCTAACGCTTCCAACTCTATTAAGTGGGTCAATAAGCAGGACTTGTTTAACCATTTTGTATTATCACATTTGCTGTAAAGCTATTTGTGACACAGATGATGAGGTGGTTAGGACCACTGCTCTTGGCAGGCTGTAACATTTTGTGTCACAGTCCTTAGGTGCTACAAATTCATAGTGCGAAAGAGACAATTTATCTCCCAATATGTATGCTGCAAGAGAAAGGCAAACTGAGGAAGGTAAGGTTCAGAAAACCCTTAGGACTAGGAGAGCCATTGCCAGTCCTCTAGCATTAGAGAAGACACACACTGTTCTTCAGCACTGTCTGACAGTAGTTCTCACTAACATCTAACAGCTTACAGTGATTTTCTCCCAGCATATATATCAAAGGAGTTCAGGCAGGAGTCTCTTCCCCACTCCTCCCACTCAAAAAAACCAAACCAAACCCAAAAAACCAAAACAAAAACCAAAAAAAAAAAACAAAAACAAAAAATGTCCCCTCCAAAAAACCCAAAGCAATAAAATACCCCAAACAAAACTGAGTACCCCTTTTGGAAATGAGAACTATGTATTTCAAGAAGAACAGTAAAACTATCCCAACATTTGATTGCACTCCAGCTGGCTGCCTACCCCAGGACAGTCACAGTACTACTAGGAGTATCAACCTGTCTACAGAATTTGGTACTGCTTGTCAAAGTCACACTAAAATTCTGACAGAGAGGAAAGGTTAACTGACCAATTCAAGTAGTGTTTTCATCTCTTGTAGGTTCACTTCAAGAAATGCAAAAAGTATGATATTTCTTTCTGTATTCTATTTCTTTCGGTACCTGCAGGTAACATATACTTTCATTTGTTAAAGATGAGCACTTCTCTGTTCATCCATCAAGGCAGTCTGAATACTAAAATGACCAGTTTCCTTCAACAGGGTATTTTCCTTGCATTGACTCAACTAATTCTTATCTGTGGCACATACAAATGGAAAATACATGTGAAAAGACATACTCGAAGTTTAGGGATATCAAATCAGTAATCAACATCCAAGACCTTACACACAATTGCAAGTTGCTTGATTTGAATACCATGTCTCTGAATTAGTTATTTCTACAGTTTAATTCACACGTTCAGAAAAAAAACAGAAACAGATGCTATGAAGAAACACAGTATTATGTGTTTATGCTGACAGTGTATTATGCTGAAATGAAGCAAAGGCCATATTGCATATAGCTCATGTATGTCAGTAACTCACTTCGAAATTCTGCGGATCCTCCTCTTCCTCTTCTACTTTGATTTCTGTTAAAGATCCACCGGCTTCTCTGAAGTCAGTCATATTTTGCCATTCAAAACTAGATTCAATTGCAAATCCCATTTTCTCGTCCATGTCTTCATTGAGAGAGTCATCTAAATTGGATGAAGGAAGGTGAAACCCAGCACCCACTACTTTGATGTTTGCATTCAGACGTTTTCTCTTCATGAGTGCTCTCCAGTCAAGGTATCGCCTTTTCACTTCTGTCCCTGTTCTCTGCTCTCCTTCACCTACAGCATTGACACACTCAGCTATTTCCTCCCAAGCTTTCCGTTTCATCTCATTAATTGTTGTATTAAGTTGCTTTGAAAAGAGTACTTCTCTCCTTTTTCTGATTTCCTTAAGGAGAGTTTGAGTTTCCTGAACACTAAAATTACTTTTTCTTTTTCTTTTTAACTGTTTCATTTTTTCCAGGCTTAACCTAGTAATTTCACCACAGCAGACTACAGAGATGATCTGACACTAATCAGCTACTAATATAAATAAATTTAAAAGCAAATGAAAGCAGAGCTCAGTTCTCATGAAGTAAATTTTCTCTTCACTTTGTAGTATTTTTCTATTTGTCAGGCTTCCTAAGAGAAAAAGAGCAAACAAGATAAATCTCCAAGGTATACACCATATATTTTCATTTAACAACTTGACTCCTAATTTAAGGAATGCATATTTTGAACTAACTTGTTATTTGATAAAGGAAAACCATTCTGTTAAACTTTCAATACAAAGCAGTCATAGATACTTCCTCTGATTTCCTATGAATTATAAAACCATTAATATATTCATGTCACGACTGTTAAGGTTGATTTGGTATTTCCATTACAAAAGTACAGCTATTTTCCTTCAGACCCTAAGAGTTTTGCCAGTCGGGATTTCCTTGAGACTGAAATTTGACACGTACATTTCAGTTTGAATGCTCAATTACATCCCAAAGAAGCTGAAATTGTTGTATCATTACTTCAAAAATACGAAATGTTTAGGGGACTGAAATTTTTGAGAGACATTTTAAATAAGACACCGTTTTCATTTAAAAAAAAAGTGAATTAATATGGTAAGTTGGTATTTTCGAGGCTTTTCTAACTTAGCATAATCATAAATAAAAGAAATGGAGCAATCCCATTGAATGTCATAAAATAACTACTAGTTCAAACAAATGTCATTCATTAGAGATATTTTAACAGGAAATAGATTTAAGTCACTACATGTCCAAGGTAAAAACCCTCCTGTGTCCTTCTAATGCAGCTAAACATCTCAAGTCAGATGCTATGGCAGCTTTAAAGTTCATCCAGTGCTCTGCCCTCAGCACCAGTTAGTTCTGTGCCTAAAGAGAACACAAACCCCTATAATTCACCTAGTGTGTGCAACTCTGCAGAGAAGTGGAGAGTGAGTGGGAGAAACAGGGGACTATTAATACAGTAATGAATATTATTACTGCATTAATAACAGATCATATTACCAAAAAAAACCCCAAAACAACCTACAGAAACTTGGAAGCAAAGACTAAGAATCAAAAATTATTCTTGGTCACAGAGTGCTTGGCAACAGGTTCAATTTAGGATTATTTTAAGAAGTCTTTTGTACCATGCTATCTACCACTGCAGGTAGGTTTAAAAGGCTTTAAGTAAAGAGAGCCAGGGATTCACTATACACTACAGGCAGTTTCAAGCCGCTGTTTGTTCCCTGTTCATGCAGTAGAGGCATTTGTCCACCTGAAGGCAAATGGCTTCTAGATTATAGATTCAATTGTTACTAACTAATAGACTTAATTCTTAAATAACTCCCTCTAGGGAGTTAATCCCAGGATTCTTAAATTACTAAGTATTTTTCCTCCTATTGTCCTCCCTAAACTTGGTTAAAGCATACACATCAGCAGACTGCACTACAACTCCTCACTTGGGGAATAATGTCTAGTAGTTTAGACATTGTCCTTCATCTCCTATACACTATACACTGTAAGTAAGTGGCTCACTTGCAGTTTTTGTCAAGCAACATTCTTGCATAGCCAACAGGCAAGCATGCTGCCATCAAGTATTTTTTCGAACACTGCATTTAAAAAACTGCTTTACTACTTTTCCTCACTAAAATACTACTCTGACTGTAAAGACACTTACTTCCAGTCATTACTAGATAGCAAATCTGTAAAACCAAGTCCCAAGATGAAACTGACTGCATAAAGCAGAGGCTTGTATCAGCACACACCACTACAGCACTCCCATGTAGCTACGCAGCACTTTGGATTCCTCAGGCTCAAGTAGGAAGCTGCATGCTGCTGTTTAGGATGTGTGAAACTTTCTGTCCTTCTGAAAATAAAATCCCAATTGTTTTTGAGAAATATTTATACCAGAAGACAAACTCTATCTGCTAGAATTACACCAATTTTTTCTGAGACCTTTTATCTGATCTTTAAGCATACTCTTTAGCAGACTTGTGCTGAATGACAGCCATTTTCATCTCAAGGTATATACTGGTTAAGTCCTTTACTTAGCCTCAGCTAGGTTCTTTTGGTCATTCCAAAATGGAACCTTCCAACAAGGAACCACAGGAATTTACAGACTCATTTGGTATCTCTAGTTACCCTGGCTTCTTTTAAATTTCTCAGGGCTACCACAGCAAGCTAACGTGGGCATAAACACAGAAAAACAAACAAAAATAAACTGGGTTTCCAAATCAAATTTTCACCGTCTTCCAAACACAGTTCTACATCAACATGGAAAATGCTGACAGGTAAGCTTTCTCCTTAGCTCCAGAGAGAGCTGAGAGTTAAAACATGCAAATGTTAGGCCACTGCTCCTTGCACCAGTGCTCTGCATCATCCGACTGATCTCCCCAGCCACGCTTTGTTAAGTGTCTAGTCTCTGTTTTGGACTTTATGGCATAAGCCAAGGACATAACCTTTAAGAACTACAATATTAACTTGGAAACTATTGGCAAACAATTATTTTATTAGGTAGTTTTCTTTTAGATTCTTTTAAACTTTTGCTAGAACACATCTGATATAAGCCTCTGAATTTCCCACTGAAACATCAGCCCACATATTTTAAAACTCATGACTACCAACTTCTGACTGGTAAGGGCATCCTGTCTCTTTAACTCTTTCCTTTTTGAAAGCAAACTGCCTTGCTAAGGATAATTCTTTTCTAATTAACATGAACTGAGTTAGTGAACTGTCTTAACAGGATATTTACTGCCAGAGATAGCTCTGTGTATCTTTCTGATATATTAACTAAAAAACATTATTATCTAACAAAAGCTGAGATTTGAGATATACGGCTCTTAGCCATTGCCAGATGGTCTCCAGAATATTATGCTTTAATGAGGAAAAATGAGCTGTTACATACTCAAAGTACCTAAGAGACAGGAATGTAAATAAACTAGGATTTGTATACCTTCTCAACAGCTACAGCAAAAAAACATCTAACATTCCAAACCTCAGCTTCTGGGATAGCATTAATGCTCATCCTAGTAGCTGGGACAACATTGAGTTTTGGATTAGTGTGACTATAATGTTGGCAATGCACCAATGTGTTGGTTGTGGTTAAAGAGTGCTTACTTTAAACCAAGGACTTTTCAGTTTCCCATGCTCCACCAGTGAGGAGGTGCACAAGAGGCTGGGGTGAACTGCAATGCAAAATGCGTACTTTTACAGTTTGGGTAGAAATGTGAAGTGCTGGCTAAAAAAACCACAATTCTGATGACATCATAAAGACGTCAAGGGTCTTCCAGAAAAGATGGCAACATGGAGCTTCGACTTTGGGCCTGTCAGGCTAAAAGCAGCCTGTGATCAAGAAGGCTCTCATTACTGCACCAAAGAAACACAAACTGTTGGGGTTGAAAAGAAACAAGTACTGTAAAACTAAGCTGGAAACTCCATAAACAGACAGAATATGCATACACTGAATACCTTTTGCATAAAGACAGAAGCATCTTCATTCTGCCTCTATCTTTTCTGTCTCCTTTGTTGACACTTTATTGTCTGACTACATGTTGGACCAACAGAAAAAAATTTAGCAAATGCCCCAAACAAGCAATGAAGCAAACAAAAAGGTCCATGCATTCACCAGGAATGGAAGACTGCTGCTAGCATTAAACTTGGATTTTACAAAAAATCATTACTTTTTACAAAATATGATTTTTTTTTTTTTTTTTTTACTTTCAGGGCTTATGCTTGAATAAAAAAACCTTCAAATTACGAGGACCTGATATCTCCAAGTTTTTTTAAACAATAAATTATGAGTCTTGAGTATCTTCTGCCTAAGGCTTTCTAGAAAACTTTTCCGTGTTTCCCAACAGATGGCTACATTGGCTTGGAGCAACTTACGCTTTTGTACAAAGGTTCTTAGTACAGAAGAATCTAAGTGCTGCACAACACATCACCCAACACAGCCCTGCAAGAAGCCCGAGGTTTACACGAACGAAAAAGCAGGCACAGAAAGGACCCAACAACACCTAAAAGGATAATTCACCGAAGCAGGGAGAAAGCACGGAAGATGGGAAGCGGCAGGGGATTCAGGCTCTGAAAGGTACAGACTTATCAGGCCGAAGCTCCCCTTGCCCTGGACGAGCCACGGCCAGGCAGGGGAGCAGAAAGCCGCGTCCCTCCCTGCGCGCTGGGTTAAACGCGAGGGTGGCAGAGCCGCGGGCCCGGGGCCAGCGCGGTCCCACCCGCAGCGCTGCAGGGAAAGCGAGGCGGCAACAAAGGGAGGCGGGGGCACGGCCGGCTGCCCCGGCCAGCACAGCCAGAGCCCCGGGGGCCAGATGGGCTCTCCCAGGGGAGAGAGGCCCGCAAGTCAGGGCCTCTCCGGCCGGCGAGGCCCTGCGGGTCTCCCGGGAGACAGAGAAATAGGAACGGTACCTCCCCGTGGGGAGATGACACGGCGGGCAATTGCCTCATCACCCTCAGGGGCTGAGGGCGGCGGAGGCCCAGCGCTCTACCCCCGAGAGGGCGACAGGGGCTGCCCACACGCCGCGGGGGGAGCGGCAGCCCCATCCCCGGGCCGATCCCGCTGGCGGTCCCGCTTCCCGCCCCTCCCGGTCCCCGGGGGCCGCGCGTGCGACTCACCTGCGCCCGGCGCTCCCCTCCGGGCCGCCGGCCCTTGAACGGCCACCGCCCTCCCATTGGGCGAACCGCCTGCCTGTCACTCTTCTCTGCACGCCTATTGGTGCTCCGTGTCCGCCGCTGCCCCCGCCCCGCCCTGCCGCTCCAGGCGGGCCGAAATCCCAATCGTTCCTCCGCCGGCGGAGCCGCGCCGCGCGCAGCCACCGGGCGGCCATTGGCTGCAACCGCCGCTTGTCTTCCCCAGGCGTGCCGGTGATTGGCTGGAAGCCTCCGCGGCCCGCCCCCTCAGCGAGGGACCCTTCTCGGGGCGGGTTTGGTGCTGCCATTTCGCCAGAGGGCGCGGCGCAGGGAGGGGCCGGTGCCTTGGGCGGTGTCGTGCGAGGGCTCAGGGAAAAGGATAGGCCCGAACGTGGGGGGTAACCGGGCATAAAGCCAGCGGTGGGGCCGCTGGGTTTATGATGCTGCCACCCAGAGCGAGCGCACGGCAACCGGCCGTTCCTCCTGAACTGCGCGGTTCGTGATTAAAATGGAGAAATGACGTTTAGCACATACTGTAATTAAAGAAGTTAAAGTCTTTTTTCGGGAAGCGTTGCATATGTGAGCCACCACGCCGCTGATGTGGGTGAATACACAAACCGCTTTCCTGGAACTTTGGGGTTCAGGCTCCTCGTCCCCTCCACCACACAAGATGTGTCTGCTCTTTGCCTTGTTACGTCCCTGATCACGTAACCCTACTCTTTCGAAGTTTGGTACCTCTATTCTGCCTAACCTGATGTGTGCATTTATTACTTTGCATATTCTTTAACAGTTACTTGCTCAGTCTTTCTAGGTTCTTTCATTGGACAGGTAGTTATTTGATTATATACAGCTTTAAGTGATCGTAACTGTGATGAAAGCACAAATCTCCCTGAAGTGGTATTTTCCAGTTTCAGCCAACTATTAATTTACCAGATTGCTAACAGGTAGTGATAGTTTTGCTGCCAAACTTTCCCATTGTGTACTGAAAATCAAGTTTAAAAGGAGAATGGTGAAGAGGAGTCGTGTAGCAAGACCATGCTACATTACTGACATATATAATTACAGGGATGTTTCTTACTGAGACCCATACATGAAATTGGCTTCCCTTTAAATTATTACCAGTATTTTAACAGTGCTCAGGAATAAGATTCAAGTGCACCCTAAAGGTCTCGCAAGCTAGTACAAACTAGATTTAGGTGCAAGTAGGTGGACAAATCATGGAAAGGGGAGGTCATTAACAGTCTGAACCTCTGCTAGTCTGCAAAAATAATTAGTCCTAGTTATACCTCACTGAATATCCTTCTTTTATTGTGAAGGACAAACCCTAAATATGATTAGTGTCCATTAGAATAATTTTAACTAGGAATCCTATTATTTCCTAGAGTAGCCATGCACATAATCCTAAATAGCTCTACTTTCTCTCAGAATTGTTACTCTACTTTTATGGAGATCTTTTACTTTTCAAAAGTAAAAGATCAGCTTTTACTGTTGATCACTGGTGAAAAATCCTGGTGTATACCATTTTCCTCCAACAAAAATTCTTGAACCTCCTTTCTTTATGTGAACTGTTTTGAAATTATGCATAATTTATGTGTATTTTAATCATTAAATCCAGAGTCTTTCTTCCTTGCTTTTGATGACAGTAAGAAAATCTCTGTCATATGGTCTACTTCAGATGCAAACTGTTCAAATCCATGGCGAACTCCCTGGATTTTTAGAACATATATATATATAATTTCATTCTGATTGTGCACAGGGGTTACACAAGCTCTCAAATTTGGTCTGTGAATCCCTTCATTGTTCAATATAAGCTTTTAATATTGTGAGTGCTGTTGGAATGCTTTGTACATGTCTCCAAAAGGCTTTTGCTAGCTGAAAGCAAAGGCCTTAGAGTGTTGGAAGGTTAATTTGTATTGCCGTAACTCTAATTTTTCTATAGAGGAGTCTTGAGGTTACAGAATTTTAAGTTTTGGAAGAATGCAAGACAATATGGGGCTCTGTCACTTCCTGTTGATGCCATTTCTGCAAGCCTTGGCATGCAAACTTTAGACTATGTAACTTTTATATCTCCTTTGATTTAAAGCTACTTCTATTAGTATGGAAGGTCCATTTCAGTAAAAATAAACACCTAATCATTTGCAATACTTAAACTGTTAAAAAACCTTGTATATCAACCTGATCTAATTTTAAGAAACTATACCAATTTAAATGAGTACCTTACAGTGGTAAACTTAAGAACTTTTCAGCAGGCAATCAAAATTAGCATGGGAACAGTAACTCAATATGCAAAGGATATACAAATACAAGGTTTAAGGATAATTATAAACCCCCCTTAATGCAGTTTTCATCCATGCTAACTGCATTCTTTGTTATAGTGTTCAAAATATTCTCCACCTGAAAAAAAAAAAGGAAAAGAAAAAAAGAAAAAAAACCAAACACAAAAGAGATTACCTGCATTAGAAACACTGTAGATTCTCTGCAGTTTGAATCTCACTGGAAAAAAAGAAAAAAAAAAAAGAAGAGATGCGAGAAGGATTCAGTTGCTCAGTGCTTTATTTCACAAAAGAAAGAACATCTCAGCAAACGTGTAGTATCGTACTTTCCACATACCAGCAGAGCCCAGGCAGCAGCAAAATGTTACTGTTCTCTATGCTTTATTGGGCATTAGAAGGAAAAAAGTAAATTGAGCATAATGTTCAACTGTAAATATTGTCGAATTCATCCCTGTTTTCAGTCTGTTTTAATTAAAACAAATCTTATGCTGCCTCCTGTTGGTCACCTACAAATAGAAACATCTGAAATTAATCTCCACATTAGGAACTGCAGTCAGCACATTCTATAGCCTATACCTTGCTTACTACCCTATACTAACCAGAGGAGGTAAACAGTTTTCTTCAGAGTAATTCCATAAATAAATCTGACCCAGAAAATCTACTCCATTTTGTGAATATAACGAATTTTTAACAGCAGTAAACTGACTTACTACAAATGTATTTAGAATATAGAAAAGAAATTAATTAGTCCTTAAATAATAATCTTCAGGTCTGTGCAAACATAATCAATAAAAACACCTGAATAATTGATATTTATGATATTTATGATAACTAAACCAGTATGATAATATTACTAAAGTGCCATAATGTTTTGATAGCATTCTTTAAAAATTAAGATTGTCCAATATAATCATCACTGGATATTAAAATCCCACATACAATATATATTATCTTCGTGTATATTATACTGGTCATGCTTATAATGTGTTCTGTGACATAAAATAGAATACTATTAGAAATGTTTTGGTTACATCATTTAAGTGCAAATAGATTATAATTTTACATGCATTTTGTATGTTTAAACATCATTCTATTTCAGTGAGAACATATGTAATCATTAATCTAGTTACTGACTATTTTTAGAGGAAGGTACTTTTTCATAAAGCTTTGTTTCAAAGAGCTTTGAAAAGACATAAAAGATATTTAAAAACTCACTTTGTATTAATTTTGTGACTTTTGTTTTTAATTGCATAAATGCTGTGTAGGCTGAAAAATCTGTTTGATCCAGACTACAACAGTTATTCATGCAAGTAATTCATATTCTTTTATGTAGTTCACTGAGATTTCTTACATCTGTAGCAATTAATCACAGGGTTGGGAACATAGGTCCTTCCATCATAAAGCCTTGTTTTTAACCATGACTTTCTAACAGTTCTGTTTCTGCATTCAGTTCTGCTACCAGATTTAATACTCTGCATGTGGAAATGTGGCAAGTGATCTTTTTTCCTTCTGTGAGAGCTGTAGTACAGGTGTACCTGCCTAACTGCAGAAAATCAGTACCATTTCACATAACTTTTCTGTAAGCAACGCCAGAAAGTAACTGACATTACTACATTATTTCCTGATCACTGAGTAAGAGCTGAACTCCCTGTGAAATCCATGAATGATTTGTCAAACTGGGGACTGACATTAGTTCCTGAACAAGTGTAGAGTATTAAAGAAGCGTGTCTATTTTCCCAGTTTAGCTTCAGTCAGTTTTCACTGTCTATACTGAGGAATTTCTCACATACGTCATTGCTGTCTGATGTCAGATGCCAGAGTATTATAGCAAGTAGCTGGGTGGAAGACTGCCAAAAAGATCTGCTGTAGGGAAAAACTTAGGGGAAGGAGCATCACCTGAATGATTCACTCGCTTGCTGTTTATGTGGTCTAGCAATTTGGTCATGACACTGGCAATTAAAAAAACCCTTGCAATTCTCTAGTCTCTTCCAATTTGCATAGCTATTTATACCCATGTACTATGGGCATAATATGTTACTTTTATCAATGCACAAATTGCATATTCATATTACTCAGCTATAAACACAAAACAAATACACAAGCAAAGGTGAATTTGGCCTTGTATTCCAATGATGTGACAAGTTGCAATAATTAATGGTTAATGAAATCTGTGCTACCCTGAGTAGCTTCACTGAAATGAAAACTACCATTTTCCTATGTGTTTGGTTTTTTCCTATTGTTTCAGTAAGTAGGAATAGTATTCTTCCTCTCTCTACTCAATACATTTACTTTGCACTAACAAAAAGTAGTTGTGTCCCAATATAAAAATACTTCCATTTCTGTAAGGTGATTGTAAAGGTTACCTAGTTACATTTAGTTAAAATATGGAGACTTACTATGAAAAAAAACCCAACAAAATAAATGTGGAAGTTGCCTGAAATACTGTAGCAAGCTACTTACTTCTACAGAACTGACACACATTTTAATATACAGAAATGACTAAGTGGGAGGGTCCTGCTCTATTAATATGTTCTCCAAATGTACATGATGGTATTTGAAATACTTAAGAATATTGTTATGTAGAATGTTATATAAATTTGTAAAGGTATCTGATAACAAATTACAGAGTTAATCATGGAATCAGAAGCTTCCATTGTTAATGTTTTAAACAGAAGCATGTTCTAGGCAATATTAAGCTTTAAGCATTAATATTCAGCTTGGGTTTTGCAAAAAGTACATGCAGTAGTGATGTGATAATGGACTTACCACAGTTGTCTCAAGACGTAGGAAAGATGGCTCTGATGCCTCACTAAGTTTTATTCATGTTTTTAACTGTTTGAAAAGATGTGATTAAGTGCTTAAAACCATTGCTCTGTCTGGCAGAAGACAAACTCACTGCTTTCACAATACTTGTATGGTACATAAGAGCTCTCAGTGTCTTATCTGGATGCTTGGTAAGAAAAAAACTTCTCATGCTGTGTAAGATTACAAATTTATGTATGAAACCTAGCTAATTTCAGTGTCCTCCTGTCAGAAGGAGGACTGACTTTGTAAGCATGAGATCAAATTTACTTCACAACGTATAACTAGACTAATATTAGCACTAAAAGTCCATTACAACTTTAACATTATAATAGCTGACTATTTAAAGTTTATCAAGCAATATATTGTGTAGTGTTTACTGTGTGATATTTTAACATCTGAAATTACCATGAAGCTCAAGATAAAGTGTTTTAATTAATTTAAACCACAAGAGATGATTTCTCACCTCAGAAATACTATTTACTATTCAACCTTTAATATGGGGGGTGTAGTTTTGTAACTTTGTATTTAATGTATGACAAGATACAAACTTCTCCCATAGTTAAGCAACAGCTACGATTAGTTTTACAGCTTGCTGCTATAAGCAGCCTAGTGACTGCTTAGTAGGCAGCATAGGAGACTTAAGAGATGGAAGATTTCTGTTAGAAAACATCCTGAAGTGTTTTTTCTTTAGTTAGCAATATGACTAAAGCAAAGGTATCACATGAATCCATCTTGTAGAAATCTTACCTACCCTGCAGTATGTTGTCAAAGTTTACTTTGCCACAGCTAATGGGATGGAAACAGAAAATAAAGCTACTTCTAAGGCACAAGGATGGAGAAAAACTGGTAAAACTGAAGAGCTGAAGTAAGATGACAGGAATTATCAGTCTCTTCAAGTTAGATACCTGGTTTTAGTACTGTGAAGGCCACTTTGGCTATTGTCCTTGCTAAGGTCATTGTGATAAGATAAAGCTGACAATTCATTCCTCTTACAGGTTTATGAACATAGAAAATCTAAATAATGCTAATGAAAATGTCTTTTAAACTTCAGTTACATAGGGAAAATAGTATCACAGTCAGTTTTCTCATTTAGCAATTTGTCTATTGGGACAACTGTGAATATTACAGAAATAATGGCACATTTTACACAACTAATTCCTCATGAATATTCCTTTTTGAAAATTAATATAATTTTGAAAATTAATCTGATAGTTACAGAGAAGAGTTGTATATAAAATTAAGTAATACTGTCTGTATAACGACTAGCATGAATGACATTTTAATGGACTCTTCCAAAAGCAATCCTACAGCATTTAATTTAAACTGAAAATTTAAGCAAACATGTACATATTTCTCCATCTGTAAACTAATACTAAAAAACTGTTCTACAACTTGTGCATTTAAATAGACTCTTTTGACTTGGGAGTTTCAAAATTCTCCAGAGCAAATTGTCAGTACGGGTGACCACGGGTCCCTGTATTTATTAAACTGAATGACCTGACAGTAAAACTCGGTTAAGGCTCTTGGCATTGGTGAAACTTCTTCCCACTCAGACCTACTGCTGTGGTAGACTTGAACTTCATCTGTGATTTCTTCTGGAGCATAATCACCACCTAGTATATAAATTTTGTCTTCTGTCCCAACTGCCCCTGCATTAAAGCCCGCGCATTCAAAAGATCCTTCTCCTTTCCAAACACAGGTTTCTGGGCAAAAACTGTAGACCTTGTAGGTGGAGAGATCACATATGTACAATGTGCAGTTCACTGGAACAGCTTTGATTAGAGTTGCATGGAAAAACTGCCCAAATTCTGCTACAAGCTCAGACCACTGATCAGTCATAGCATTATACTTAAAGAAACAGTCAAGAGATGGATTAAAGGCATCAGTAATCTCTACTTCTGAGCCAAGGACATAAATTATATTCTGGCATGCACTTGCTTCTGGATAGTAAATACCTCTTGGTAACTGGCTTACAGATTTCCAGTCTTTGGAAAGAGGATTGTAGGATTCTACATCCAAAAGACTCCGAGTTTCTTGAGCTCCTCTGGTCTTTCCACCTATTACAAAGAGCTGATTTAAGGTTACAACAGATGTGTGCATTGTCCTCGGTTTTTTCATAGCTGACACTATGGAGAATTCATTGTTGACTGGACAGTAGCACCAGGTTTGGTCAGTGGCATCATGAAACGGTTCAGCAATGTGAAGCCTGACAGTCCTATAACAATTCCCCTTGCATCCTCCAGTTATAAATATTTTTTCTCCATAGCTAGACAAACTTGACCCTGGCAGATCAATCATGTGCGTATGTGGTAGTTCCTTCCATTTATCTGTTTTGATGTTGTAGCAGAATGTATGTCTGTTTTCTCCATCTTCATCAGTTTTATGAACAAATATGTATTTTTCTGTTGTTGAAGGACGTGCATCTGGAAACAATCCGCTGAAGTTCTGCACACTTTTAACTGCATCATTGATTATTACTGAGCAATTAGCACTCTTAAGTAGGTGTTCTTCAGAATGGAGAAAGTCCTGCAAAGTCTTTTCAGGTAACTGGTGTAATCTTACTTTTTTAATCAAATTGGGCAGGTATTTCTGCCGAGTTTCTAAGTTGTGTTTGGTCCATTGGAGGACAGCTTTCAACACTGATTCTTCCTCAGGGACATTTAATTCATCAGCCTCGAGACATTTTTGTAGTATCTCAAAATTCATCTCCAAGAAATCACTCGATCTGAGCAGCAATGAAAAGTGGTGTTGTACAAAATCTAGCGCATGATCAAACAAGCGGACAGACCCATAACTTTCTGATAGAGAGAGCAACTGTAAGCAATTCACAAGATCAATACTTTTTATTAGGAAGTCACTGCAAGCTTTGGAAAGGAGTGAAACTTGAAGAAATGATGACAGTTGGAAGAGCATTTCCACATTATCATTGGTTATCTCTGTTTTTCCTGTGTAAGCATAATCAAGAAAAGCTTTCACTGCCTTGGGCGATAGGTTACTAATAGTAACATTGCCATCATCCCGTTCTTTCATATTTACTTCAAACATGGCTCTGTGAATAGAATACAGAAGATATACACACAAATTAAAGATTTAGCAAACAGAGAAGAACACTGATGTTGGAGGAGACAATCAGGTGGATGTAATAATATGGGTTGGTCTAAAATAGGTCTAAAATATGGAAATTCTTATAGGAACAATGAATTTACTTGGTGTGTTTGAAGAAAAAAATGATTGGTGATAAGAACATATTCAAAGTGATGGCTTAACAAAATCATAGCAGCACCTGTGTTTTTGTATGGATTTTCACAGTGATGAAGTATGCTGCTCTCAGTGTGAGAGAAAATGTGAAATTGTTCTGAACAGCATCAATTTCAACTTTGGGAAAGAAAGGCTGATTTAAAAAAAATATAGTATAAAAGTACCATGAGTTAGGTCATGCAATGTGGATGAGTACATAAAATTAGGGGAAAAAAAAAGCCTTCCAGATTACAGGCTGAGCAAGTGGCCAGACAGATAATGGGTGTAGTCCTCAGAAATAAAAGTAGGTGGGGGGTAAATGAGGAGAAAAACACAGGGTAACTTAATTCTTGCTTTAGAGTTCACAGAGAGGCCAAGGTCGAAAAAAAATTAGGTTTTGACTTATGATTGCATGACACAATGAAACTGCAGAAAGTAGATTGTGACTGAATACAAAGATGATAGCTGAAATTGTGGAATGAACTATTGATCAGGAGATTTGTGGAAATTTTATTACAACTTTAACTGCTTTATTCTAAGTATGTAATAACATTTAACTCTTTCATACAATCTAACATGGCAAGATAAAATAATGAAGTTTAACAAGAAGGTAAGTGCTGGCAACAGGACAGTGCTGCAATATCCCTTGCCCGACCCTCTCAGAGCCTAAGCCTCAAGCTAGAGTCCTCATGCCTTTTTGAAAATAAAAAGAGCCATATTTGTCATACCCTTAAAACAATGTTTGAGTGCTTTGCTCTAAACTCTGCAAATGTGTGTAAATTGTGATAATTTTTTTAACTTTTTTTTTTTTTAATTCTATTCCTTCCCTCCCTCACAGAGAACTTAGAATCTGTTTCCTGCAAACTCATGCCAAAATTAGGTTTACCTGAAAAAATCACTGCATGCTGCCAGTACACAACGATGACAGGGAATTATTTCATCTTTCACAAGAATTTTAAAATCAAAAAATATATTTTGTTCTCTGAACTTTTGTAGTACTTTTAGAATTTGTTGTCCATGACCTTCAGCCACTAAGGAATTGATTTTATTTTCAGAAACAGAAATTCCATTGCAAATAGGTCTGCTAATGTAATCCCGTTGATTGGCCATGTTTTCTTCAATCTATTCCTGAAATGGAAAAATAAATAATTGATTCTACAGTCTTATTATTAAAAAAGCCCAAACAAAATCAATACACATTGAAACAAAGAAGTTCCCAGCATTGAATTTAGTTTGTAAATCATATGCACAGTTAGAAATTTGTGTTACAAATTCAATACACTGAATTTGACAATACTACTACTTTGTAAAATATATTCACATAGCAAATTTTGAAAAGTAAATTATCTGCCATATATCAGCAATTCTACAGCTAATACCCACCTGTAGGGGTTTTTTCAGTAAAGTCCACAGGAAGCACACCAAGGAGTGTGTTTAACTGTCATTTAAGAGGAAGACTAGTCCTAGGCTTACCCTTAAAAAACCCCAAATTCTTACAATTTTATGTAAAATTAAGATGGAAAAAGAAAACTTTGTTACCTATTTTACATTCCAAAAGGCTGATCACTCTACATCTTGTATTGGAAGGGAGCCACAGGCTATTAGACTGAATCCTTAGTCGATTCTCATGAGGCACTCTGGACTGCAATAATGGAATACAGGCAACACCAACAGCCTGGCTGAATAACAGGGCTGCTGGGGCTTACCAAAGAGGGTCATTTAGCGACAGTTTGGTGACAGTACACCTTTGAGTGTTTAGTCAATTGAAACACATTTTGTCATGTAGTTCTAGTCTTGTTAGGAAGCTTTATGTTTGCCCACTCTGAGTTTCACTTATAATGGTGTAAATTAACTGGCTTTAGAACACACTTAAATTTAAGACCATCTCCCTTTCAGCAGCCAAGCTTTTTTTTTTTTTTTTTTTTCTGGTGAAAATCCCTACACTGAAGTGTGTTTTTTTCTATGGTAAATCGGTTTTAACTGTTTTATTACAATGAAAATATTTTATTCCACTTTGTCAACATAAAGAAACTTTAAACATGAGTGTATTTTATTTACACCTATTTAAAGAGCTATTTTTATATTGCAGATACATAAACTGCCCTCACTGCAAATCCGAGTCAAGACTGCCCATTTTAAAACTTGAAGAAACATTCCAATTTTTTTTTTTTTTATTCCAGGATTTTGCTTCCACAATTCCAGTTAAAATCAACAACAGATAATGGCCCACCTGAATTGACAGGGGACAAAAAATTCCAAACAAAACCCAGAAACAAGAAAATAACTGGTTTTGAATTTTGTGAAAAGGCTCATCTGATGACACAATACATTCAAAGCAAACTAAACCATCAGGCAGTCTTCTTCATGTGAGATACTTTCACAGCAGACTGACTATACTTTATCTAGTCAGGTAGCTCCAACCACAAATAGACCTCCATGTCTCCTGGAAGAGAAGAGATCCAGTGATCTTGCTGCCAGCACTGGCACCCTTGGAGCAGGCATCTTCTCCTTCCCATGGCCAGACAATCTCAACGTATTCACTCTTTCCATTCTAAGCCTGAGGAACTAGGAAAATACAGAAGAACAAGACCACCATTTATTCTGATAATGTATGGCCTCATAAACCCCAACTTCCATAAATCATAAAACTTTTTTGTATGTCAGAATTCTCTAGAATACCATTTTCTTACAAATTTAAAAGCCTGCTCCTCAAAAGGCTGAATCTTCAAAAGCAGAGTTGCTTCAATAACATTAGTTTCTCACATTTGAATGAAACTTTTTTTAAAAAAATAAGTGAATTTCACAGTTTATTTGGCATCATATAAAATAATTCTTCATCTAAAAGAAATGTAAACCTTTGCGCAAAATTCTGGAACTGACAATAGATGCTACACATTTTTCTACACTTACATATGTAATTTCTATAGCAAGCTCCAACCTACAATGTGCTTTCTGTAGATAAAATTACCAGTTTCAGTAATATTTGTATTTGTATAATGAACATGGAAACATCTACTGTAATCAAGTCCAACTATGCTATTTTAGGCAAGACATCATATGATCACTTTCATACAAGCAATTGATGTTTCACAAAGTTTTCTTTTACCACACTATTACTGCAAAAACTCAATTCCAGTACATTGGTGTAGAGACTGTAAACCTCTTAATTATACAATCAATTTATTAATGCTTACATATATTTTTTCTTCCATTCAAATTGTTATTTGACTTAATTTTCCTTTGTATGTTTATTCACTCTTACAATTATGAAGTGTTGATATCCTCTCTCAACTTTCATTAGAATGAATAGTCGTCCAGCTTTCCAAGGTCCACTTATAAGGCTGAGTCTTTGGTTTTCCTTATCATTTCTTGCAGTTTTCTCTTTCATCCAGTTTGATCCCAAATTTCTTTCACTGATACAAGATTTGTTGTACAACATTATGGTTCAGATCTGATCACTGTCTCACTAGTCCAATTTGCAAGTCATCTAATGCATCCTAATCCTAATCTCTAATAGCAGTATCTCATTATTTTCTTAAAAGCAAAATTCAACAGTGTATCTTTAATGTTTTTGTCCATGATTAAGGAATGTAGTAATAAATACGGTGGAATGACTTAGCCTAATTCACCCTTCACTCCATTAAAAAAAAATAAATATTAAAAAATTCCATTTCCAGCTGTCTTGTAGCCAATTCCTGACTTATAATTTTGGTATTAATGTACCACTTCACTGAATCTGTTGATTATTTTAGAGCCCTCCAAACTCTCTTAACAATTCAGCTAAAACTTGGTATGTTAAACAAGGCATTTATAATTATTTTATGCATTCTTATACAAAGCCATATGAATTAATCAAGAGGGTTTTTAATAAATATTTTATGAACTCTGACAAAAGGGTAAGAAACATAGGGGGTGCAGATTTGTGTTGAAGAGGTCTGCAGTTCAGGAGTGCTGGGGAACATCCCTCTTTTATTTGCTTCATAAACTCCCACAGGATTCCAATTACAAAGCCTGTCTTCATGTGGATTACCAACAACCAAGCTCCAGTAAATGGTTCATTAGAGGTTGGGATCTCTTACTTTTGCTTTTTGAGTCACGTCTGTGTGCTGTTCAGCAACCAGCCTTGCAGCCTCTCCTGGAACATGACACAAGTACTGCTGAACATGATCCAACCTCTCACCACTTGACAAAACCTTCCTGCTGGAGTACTGGACCTTTACAGTCTTACACTGACAAATGCCCCCTTAGCTGTTAGCCTGCTTTTCTGAAAAAAAAAACCAAACTAAAAAACAACAAACCAACAACTGGTTGACAAAGACAACTGAAAAATATTCCAAAACTAAACTCCCCTAAAGTTAAAAGTTAAACATTTGCTCTGGCTTATTTTTCTTGTAAGCCACCTCAAACACAAGGCCAGTTGACTGCTACAGAAAAAACTGATACAAACTTCACAGTTATTAAGGTCAACCCCATATAACACATGTATGGGGGACATATAAGTACCTCTCAAGACTATCTGTACAGGTCTCCAGTTGAAGGGCCAGGCATTCTGCATGCCTAACAGTCAAGTGGCAAGCAATGGCCAGTCTGTGTAGGGCCACACAGAAGCCAGCAGTTGAACAGAGGGCTGGGGATAGTAAGCTACTTTTGGTCATTACAGTGGCTGAAATAAGGGAGCACCTGGGAGCTCTGAGGGTAAGAGCATTCTTATCATCTGTCACAAAATCCAGTAATAAGGGCCCAGACCTCCTTAGCTGGGCTGTTTAAGAGACCTCTCTGCCATAGGAGCATAGAGTGGTTTGGGTTGGAAGGGCCATAAGGAATCACCTTGTTAGAACCCTTTGCCAGTTTTAACACTGCCCTTTTCCCAAGATACTACGGGATGGAGCAGTCTAGAACATAATGAGTTCATTGACAAAGATGCCAGGGAACCACACTGAGAACTCTGATAAGATCACAGTCAAAATATGAGATACACGTTCCTCTTAGTAACTAAACATTCGTGAAAAGCTACAAGAAAGTGTTTAACTGACCTTAATTCCATGCAAATAGCTGCCAAAACCTCACTGAATTTATTGTGGAACTTTATGCTCTCTTTCCAAAGACATATGGAGGATGTAACATATTTATGATTGTCTTTTAGTTAGCACCACCAATCCTTCTTAAGTGTTCTTACAATTATGTATCTAGAAGATACTGAAATGTGTAATTTATTTTCTTGTACTTTTCCTTTGTAAAGTCCAAATGACCTTAAGACTATGAATTTAATAACCTGGATATATGTGGAATCTAGATATTACACTAGGAGACTATAAACACAGCATACTGTTAAAATCTGTAAAAACTAAAGGAGACCAAAAACATCTAGGACAGACATTTTCAGAAAATACAGGCACACTAAAATCATAACCACTGCAATACATCTGCTAGAAATGATTTTCACATCCATCTGAAAGAGCAAAGCAAACAGAACTGTGAAGTGACCTTTGAGCAGAGATGAACTTTTGTTTGTGCAGAAATCTGTTGTAGTTCCCACCAAAGCGCTGATCAGAACATACTCACATAATGTATGTATACGAATAAACACTTTTGCTGAAAACATTTTGCTAAAGCAACAGTCCAAATAGCTGCTACAACTGATAAATAAAATGGTTACAGAAGTTTAAATATCCTAATGAAGCTGAGATTGGTGGAAGATGTGCAATTATTTCTTAGTGAATAACCGAGGAAAAGATATCAAACTAGGGAGAGGATGTGTAATAACAGTGAAATATGAACACCCAGATGAGGGTCCAGAAAGAGAGTGGCAAAGACAGCAAACTGTTTGATCGCTTTATAAAAGTGAGATAAAAATATACATACAAATATGTGTGACTTTGAAATAGCTAAGGAATTCTGTTTCATGGAAGTACTGAGCACACGTAAGTATCACACGTAACTCAGCTCATACTTAGCCAGGCAAAGCCCCTTAGGGCTGTGCCTGCCTGACAATAAACAGGACCAAACCCTTGGAACAGGACTGAGGCTCAAGACTGTTCCCAGCACAAGAATGGCCATTCAGAAATTACAAATAATACTGTGCAGGTAGACATTCTCTCCTGTTCCAAAGACAGCTGGCAAAACCAGCTCAACTCAATCCTGATTTGGTACTTTATTATTTACAAACAATTGTAAAACAATCTATCTGCTTTTATCTGACAGCACTCACCAATTAAAAAAAAAATTAAATCTTCGTACTTCATAGCAGGTATCTTATGAGAAATAAATTGCTCTTCAATGGAACATTATGTTTATTATGTGCCCTTCTCCCAGCTTGGATAGTATGCCTTACTAGGGACCAGGATTTTAAAAAAGGGAAATCTAAGAGCTGGTATTTCACAGAACACTTAATGTACCTAGGATGAAAGAACTAAGCATAGTGAAGATGAAGAAATTGTACAGATTTCTCTTGAGAACTTTCAGGGCTTTTTTTTTCATACAAAATTTAACTGTGCATTAATATAAGTTTTGAAAAGGTCAAAATCAGCATTCTAAGATTTAATATTAAAGTATTATATTGCTGAGTTTACTGTATACCCATCAAGATGATTTGATATTTTCATTCCTTTTTCATTCAAAAGGAGAGAAATTAATGACTTGTTAATAAGTTTTAAAGACACCACTCTATACTATGCATGCAATTTAACATTCACTAAGACAAGTATGAGTGGAACAGGCATCTGTAGGATTTGGCGACACTTCTAATTGCTGACTAAAAAGACAAGAGTGGTTGAAAATGTAATTAAACTACAAATACTGAGTACAAGTTCTGTGCTTCTATATTCCATTAATGTGTTGATTGTCACTGATTGCTTAAGATTGAAAACACTATGAGAATTCCAAGTTCCTGCCTGGAAATTTCAATGCAACTGAGTCTCAGAGGTTTTTCATAAATAACTGAACTTCAAAGAAAAATAATTTTCAGTCAATCATTTTAGGACAAGCAAAAAAATGCACAGGATGCTTTGAGATGTTTAATCCACAAAAATGACATTTATCAATAATAAATGTTGAGATAGTATACTCAGATTGTAAGGTGACACAGAAACTTTAAAGCTTTGTGTTCTTTAGAAGTGGTAAAAAAAATCAACATGGGAAAAAAACCAGCATGGTACCCATAGGAAGTAAGGAAATTGCACTAATTCCTGGAAGCATTCCAAAAGTAGAATAGTCCCACTCTGCAAGCAGTGATCATTAAATGCATGTTCTCTGACAAATACATGAACCCATTAAGATAAAGCAGTAATCACTTAAAAGTAAAACTGGCTGGATTTTATCCTAAAATTAAATTACTCCATTTCATCGTTACTTTGCAAATTATTTTCTTAGCCAAAAAAAAAAAAAAAATATCAAGAACAGTAATTTTAATTTTTAGAAAAAAATTGAATTAAAATGACATACTATTTCTAATTCTGGTGAAAATAACTGCAAATTCTATAAAAGAAAATGACAGCTTTTAGTGGTATCTGTAGTCTGTCACTTTTGCATGTGATTAAAATGTGGGTTTTTTCCAAAACATGCATACAATATTGAGCATCTTTAGAGAATATTTTGGCATACCATATTATAATAGCATGTTTTACTTAAAATAAAGACGTGGGTTTATATTGAATACATTCATAATTATATTATGCATTATACAGTGCATCTTGAGCTTCAGTTTGCATTTACACACGAAGCTAATTTAAAAAAAAAAAAAATTAATCCACCAGTGAAAAAATTGCTACATGTTTAAATCTCTTAAGTAGAGAGCATGGACAAGCCAAACCTATCAATCAAACCAGGGTTTTTTTTGGAACTAGGTAAGATCCACAATCCATTAGTATTATTATCTATCAGTAACTAAATATACAAAGACCACATTTTCCTCTTCAAAGTGTGCAGGATACAAAGTTTGAAATGTAAGCCACAGCTACAGCTTGATACTGGTGAAGAACATTTTCCTGAGATTTTTTTCTTGACTATGTTAAATCCTCCTCTGCAGTCAGTTAACTTTGTCTATGGGTTTGGATAATGCTTAATAAAATTATGCCATACTTTCTTCACTAAATCATGAAGAAAAATAGGAATAATATATTGAAAAAAGTCAAATATCCAACTGATTCCTTGTTTAAGCATTTTTTTTATGCAATGTTACTTCTGAGTTTAAAATCTTTTGCAAAGACCAATCTATACTCAGCTGTAACTGAGACTTATTCTAGACAGAAAGGCCTGGCCTGAGTAGAAACAGCAGTTTCCTATGTTAACAGTGAGCTGGCAATGGTAAACAACAAGAAGAAAAAAAGGAGGATTGTAACAAACACCTGCAATAATACAATTTTCAGCATTTTTGCATCATTTGTACATGGGCAGTACAGGATGGATGAAGTGTAAGAATTTCTAAAGGCAAGCAACAGAAAGATGGGTTGTAAATTTTCAAACAGGCTCTAATTTTTTAGCTACGGATCAACTCCAAAACCAAAGGGCAAGCAAATTTATTACCTTTTGAGCATTTAGAGATAACCTATACTTGAGGGCACATGGGAATCCAGTTCTGACAACCATTGGAATTCTAAGCAGAACAACGAGCACGGGATAAAAGAGGCTTTTGTTCGGACAGATCCTTAGTAGCCAGAACCCTGCTAGGGTGATGCAGAGCGCTGCATCTGTTCTTGGGACAATCAGCTCCTCTTTACAGTCCATAGAAGGCAAATAGAGCCCAGCCCGCTGCGACAGCTCTGCCAGGGGCCCGGACGGCTCTCCAGCAGGATGGATGCGCCGACGGCAACACCTCAGCAGCACATCTGCTGCGGCAGAGATGGGCTGCGCATCACCTGTCTTCAACGGGGCGCGCTGCCACAGACAACCACCTTCCCCCCCTCCGAGGGCATAACCACCTCCCTGTGCCGCACAGGGCCGAGGGAGGCAGAGTTTAGCAGGCAACTACGTTCCTTGTGCCATGGACAGGGTTATCGGCCACCCCCAGCCTCACAACAGCGACCGCCATAGCCCCCGCCCCGCCCGCCGGGGAGGAGGGCAGCGGCGGCCGCGCCCCTACTGCGCATGCTCAGGCCGCCCGCGCCTGCGCCCCGCGGCGGCTCCGTTCATTCTAAGGGAGGACTAATTCTGACAGGACGGGCGGGATGGGGCAAAGGGATCCCCTTCTCTCAAGGCGCGACCCGGCCGCGCCATGCGATCCTCTCCGCCGCTGCCGCCTCTCCGCAGGCGGCGAAGCGCCAGTCCCCCCTGAGCGCTCCCTCCGAGCAGCGCGCACCCACCTGCAGCCAACACCCGCAGCTCACCGACCGGTCTGGCCCACCCTCCGCAGCAGCCACGCCAGCAGATTGGCTCTTTCCGGCGTCATTCTCCTGCTCCCTGCACTCGGAATGGCTCTGCCGGCCGCCGCTCCAGGTGAGAGCCCGCCCATCTCCCTGAGAGGGTTCCTCTCTGACGTCACCGCGGGTGCAGCTCCGCCGCAGGCACCACCTTTCCTCTGATAGGTCGCTACCTGGTGCATTCCGCTGTCACTCACTGGGCTCTCTGACATCGGACTGGTCATTGCCCTCGGGGACGGGGCCCTTCGTGTTTCCCGCGCGCCGATAGGCTCCCGCCAGGCGCGGGGGGCGGGGCGGCGGAAGGGTGCGGGGAGCGCGGCCGGGCTGGTGGTGCGGGGCCGGGCTGGGCCGGGCCATGGGCAGCGTGCGCTGGGCCTTTCCCTGCGGCTCCTGGCGGCCCCGCCGCCGCGAGTGGCTGCTGGCCGCGAGGCTGGTGCAGCCCGAGGAGAAGGAGCGCATCGGCCAGTTTGTCTTTGCCCGCGATGCCAAAGCCGCCTTGGTACATGGGGAGCGGGGACTCGGTTGTCTCTCTGCACAGTGAGCCAGCATTGCCCAAATTCCTGATTTGTCGTAGGAAAACATGGCGTGCAAGGGCATTTCAGGGATGTAGAGCTAAAAGATAAAGCCCGTATAAACGTGTGGAGCTCTGCTTCACTGAGGAGCAAAGAGGGATGGCAGGCTGCTGTCAGTAGTTACTCTGAAAGACTTGACAGTTTCCAAGTCGTGATACCAAGTCAGGAGACAAGATCAGCGTACCTGAGAGAGTGTACATAAGACCATGAGGGTAACGAGTAGGAAAATAAAGCTGTTTTACATGATTCAGGTTTTAAATCTCGCCTAATAACATAGTAATACCCACCTGCTAATTAGTCTGGAAGGAGTTACTCATCACTTTTAGCTGTTGAGTATTTCATCTAGCACCTAAGTAGTGAATGTATCTACTGAAATGAAGGCTGTTGAGATAATTTTACTATTCAGGGTGGTGTAAAAAAGCATTTATTTATGCCATAAAGTATTGTAAAATAAGTAAATAAGGTAGAGAAAGGAACTACTGTGATTTGTCTAGGCTGGGACTGCTTTTTGTCTCGTGTTAATAATGCTAATAGTGACAATGTGTTTGATACTCTGATGAACTCTTGTTTAAACTTACTTGACACAACTTTTATAAAAGGGAGAGATTTAAATTATTTGGCTAAAATACACGACTTGATATCAATAGTAATAAACCAACATTTTTAGGCAGGTGGTTTTCTGGCAACCACATAGCACAATAGTTCTGTATGAATACTTCTGTTTTATTTCATAGGCTGGTCGCCTGCTAATGCGAAAATTAATTTCAGAAGAGCTGTGCATACCTTGGAATGAAGTACACTTACAAAGGACATCAAAAGGAAAACCTTTCCTGGCCAATAACTTACTCGGTATCAATTCAAATTACAACTTCAATGTTTCTCATCAAGGAGATTATGCAGTCCTTGCAGCTGAACCTGAGCTTCAAGTTGGCATTGATATTATGAAGACCGATTTACCAGGTAATGCGTTATGGTCACTAAAGCAGATCCTGCAGTGTTTGAGTGCTGAACATTTTCACATTTCCCAAAGAACCAATCTATGTCTTAGAATTTTAATGTAATTAGAAGAGAGTGTATGAATGCATTGTGTATTTGGGATTTCTAGCTTTTCAATCCACTCCTCATTTATTTTGGGGTGCATTGTAGGGCAGATACAGATGTATTTTTCATTTAGAGAAACAGAACCCTAGGAAAATATCATCATGAAACCTTCTATCATATGGGCAATACCAGCATCTGCAGATAATTTAATTATGGATTTGCTGTCTGTGAGGCAGAAGCAGGGATATCTTTCCAAATTGGGATAATGGGATCCATCCCCATGCGAACTTCACAGACAGTGTTACTCAGTTGTCTCATAAGTATGAACATTTTACATGTCAGCCAAGTGGCAATGTGAATCCTCTGTGAACGTGCAGTAATCCTCGGTGAGAGGGGATCATGAGGAGGGACATGAGTCTTGGAAAAGACTTAAAATTTACAAAATGTAGTTATTGGCCTACTTATTTGCATGAAATGACTGTATAGATTAGTGACCTTCAGGATCAAAATAGGATTGTAGCAAAGTGTATTTTTAAATACAGTTTTATTGAGATCATTTAGTTTGCAAATGTTCCTTGGTGCATGACTGGGTTAAAGGAGAAACATACTGGGATTTATGATTCACTGGAACTCTGTTTTTTTAGAATCTTCCTATAATGTTTAACCAGATATGTCAGTATCTGTTCTTAGAGAATCTTCTTTCACAGTTTTTTACTGTGAATTTTATGCTGCAAAACACGTTGTGTGGGAAGGTAGAGATGCAGATAAACCCTGACTGAATAACTTTCTGTCTGATCACTTTACACTTTTTTAATGATAACTACAAGTGTACCGTTTTGAATTGTCATGTTTAGCTAGGGTGCACAGAAACTTTGCTGCCATCTGAACTTCTTCCTGTGACACCCACCTGCTGTAGACCCTCACTCTGAACACGGTGGTCAGTGTGTGAGGCCACAGGTTACCCCCTCCACCTTTGGAGAATCCTCCACCTGAGCTGTTGTGTGTTTCATGACAGGAATTGTGTTCAGTGGGTAAGGCTGCTCTGGTACAGGCACACACCTGACAGGACTGCAGTAACACAGGGCCCAAATAACCAGAAAAATAGAAAAAAAATATATGTAGAAGTGGGGATATCTTACATCCTCTGCTGGTATTTCCTGCAGCTGTAAATGTAGCTGGCATTTTAAAGGCATGTTGTCAATGTCAAGCTGACAAGTTTTATGATGCATGTTAAACACTATTTCTGAAGTCTAAAGACTAAGTGATACTTGGAGATCTGATATAGACAGGCTTCAGTGCTTTTACCCAGAGAGAGAAAAATGGTGGTTATTTTGGAGATGCTGTTGATTCCAGAAACTGAAAGATGACTCATGTCTTCCTTTTTGTAATTATCATTTGTATTTTTGAAAAAGAAATAAGATAACAATGGAAATGTAATAATTGTATGTGGGAAAGAGAGACAGTAAATAATATTAAGGATAGAACTTCATATTACAGAGAGTATAATTTAAAGCTGGCCATCTTTTCACTTAAAAATTTTTCTGAGGAAGATTTTTGTTGTAGTAGAATCACCTGCAACTTTTTTTTTGTTGCTGGGCTATGAATAGGTAACACTGACTTTACCAGTATTATTTTCTCTGATAGTTCCACTGAGTGGTGCTCTTGTTCTGCACTTGCTAAGTGCATTATATTTCTGAAGGTGGATCCACTATAAATCTCTTTCCTTGGAACACCTACAAGGACAAAGAGTTCCCTATGAACAAAGTACATTTCAGTAGGTTTGTTTGTATTCGTCAAACACTTGTTTAAATAAAAAATTTATCTTGTGATGTTACCCAACAGCATCTTGATTGAGGTCTCTAGGACTGTAGCTGTTATATTCCTTTACTGTTCAGCCAGTCAGCAAGCAAAATCTGCTGTGCAGATGTACAGGACTACCATGCAGCTGAAAGTTTTGAGAAGTCGGCTGTTTGTGTGCTACTTTGTAACAAGGAGTCCTGGTGCACAGAAACATTTTATGTCAATTCCTAATCTGTACCATGTATTTTTGTTTTACTTACTGTCCGTAAGAAGCTGCCTCTTTCCATGTAACTTGTGCTTCATTATTAAAATCTGAGAAATTAAACAAGACATAGCCTTATTCAAAGGTGAAGGCAAACCACACTAGAAGCTATTCTTGCCACTGCAAACAGCAGCAGTTCTACAAAAGTTCCACAGGTGTGCAGGAGTTTATCATCTTTTTTCCTCTATTCAGATATTGAAGTAAATACTGCAGTGGTGGTCGAAAAGGAAAATATCCTCTTTTGGTTTTGCTGCCTTTTGGTTACCTGGCAGGTTATTGTAGATTTAAATCAATCTTTCAGTTTAATTGTTTTTGTAGAATTACTGAGATCAATGATTATTTTTCTTCTCTTTAGGTCAGTTTAAGAGGCACTCTTGAGTCATTTGGAAAAATGCACACTGTCCTGTAAATTTGTTAGTAGAAGTGTCTGTGGACATTATTTGGCCAGACAGGTAATGCATATGAATTTATTTTAAGCCTTTCAAAAAAGAAGTGAGAAGGATTCTCACAGTACCATTAACACCTGTGGAAAAAACTGAACTTTTGTTTGATTTTTTTAACTTATGGAAAAGAAATTCTGCAACAAGTCTCTACTTGTTTTGAGTGGTGTGTGGGATGTTGATTGACCAGTCACTTAAACTGTAAAGTATAACGTTTTTGGAGACTTAGGAAATATTTATAGCTTAATAAAGATTGCCTTGAGCATTTGAAAAAATTTAGATCTTGGGCTCAAGGGCTTTCCTGCTATGCATATGAATTTCTTTTTACTAATGCAATTTTTTAGCTTAGATGGATTTGCAAAGTTAAATAATTTAACAGTTCATTCCATATCTTCGAAAATCAGCCCGCAATCTTTCTAACCTATCCCACTATATTTACTTTGATCCAGACGTCTTCAACCTCAACTTTACTCCAGAATTAAATATTTGACATGCAGTAGAATTAGATTTTCTCATTAATACTTTGGTTTTATACTAGGCTTGCCTGTTAAAAGACACAAAAGGGTATATTTTCTGCATGTGAATTTCACAGAAAAATTAATTTGATCTAAAAATACTCCAATAAATGCTTTTTAAGAAAGTAGGCTATTATGTGCAAATATCTAATTATTTGAAACTGGTTTTCTCTGAGACAAAGAAATATAAAAAGAACTTGACTTATTTTTATCTCTTTATTCTCGTTACTACGTAATTGAGGTGAGGTAATGGAAGAGGTGATAGAGATGTTCAAATCAGAGGCAGGTCACATGTGTATATAAGTCCCACATGAAGAAACTAAATACCATACTTCAGTCTAGCTAGTGGAGGAAAGCTCTGTCTCCAGACAGTTTTAAACATTGTGCTGTTAATTTTGGCGTATTCATAGCCTAATTGAGTTAGGCACATGTACATCATAGTTAAGATATTTGGCATGTTTTTTAGCTAGCAGCCACGTTCAAATTTTTGAACTTGCAATGCTTATTTAATTGCTGCATTTCAGCTTTTCAATAAGAATTTCCTGATTAGAAACAAATTCTAAATCAGATTGTTTTTAGAGTGCTTTTGTCCTTAAGGTGTTTTACCTTTACATTAAACAAAGTTTTAACTGTTTCTGGTTTTATTGTTATATTTCTGTAAATCTTATAGCAGTAATCAGTATCTAATCTTTTACTGCTAGAGATAATCTGCAAATCATTAGCTATAGGTGTGCAGATGCACTGCTTGGAATGAAGAAATTAACCAAGAGTTTGATTTAAATGTTACTTCTTACAGATTAAAGAAGTCATAATTTATAAATACTTAGGCAAGCACATATTTTTTAGATGTGAAAAATGTTAAAACAGCTGATATGCTTGTTGAACTAAAGAATCACAGTGATTCTATGCACTTACACTGAGTAAACAGGGAGGCATTTCTTTGTTCTTGTTCTATTTGCAACTGGGAAGAAACAGCCATCTTAAGCATACTCTTTACAAATATGTAGTATATAGCAATTTCATTGCTGTGCTTTATTCATGTTTCTAACACAGTTTTAACCTGGAATTACACAATTATGTAATTGATAAAACACCAATGCTTGGTAAACTGTGAAAGAAAGTTGATATTGTGATTAAATCTCCTCTTTAAAGGAAAATTTCTTTATTTTCCAAAGAAACACTCTTAATCCTTTATGAAATCCTTAATCTTTTAATAGAAAACAATTAAACAAAGTAAAACAGTTTGGATTAACGTATAAACTGATAGCAAAATGCAGAACTGTAAGATTAGGATATGGAGAATATATGTTTGAAATGAGGGATAAACTAGCAATAAAGAAAAGAAAAATCCTAACCTAGAAGCTTTTATTAAAAATAAGAGTTGGAACAAAGAGTAACTATAAGAATGCTTGTCAGATTGTTTTGGTGTTGTGTTGTTTGGGGTTTTCTGCATTCTGCACGCTGAATTTACAATAATCACAATTTATTACATGTGTTTTGGAAAATTAAGTTATACAGTCACAGTGAACAGCTAAATACAACTGATTTTTTTTTCTTTAACAAAACTAAAAGTGCTTCTCAGCCTCCACTAATGACAGTTAACTTTGGCTTTCCAAATAAAGAAAAGGTAGCAGAAAAATCTAATCCAAGGACTAAGGTTAAGTAATTACCATGCAGATATTAAAAAAAATTGCCTTTGAGAAGTTTCTTGCTAACGCTGCCCATTTCCAGTCACTTCAGCTTTACAGATACAGATATTGTTGCATGAGCTGGAATACAGAAGCTGACTTTATTTTGTGTTGTCAAAAGCTCATTTGGATATTGACTGTGCAGGTATTACAGTTTAGAGCCCTTACTGGTTTAAAGGTTGTGAGACAGTCTTTTAGAGACAGACGTGCAGAT